CCATGTGAATTATTAGACCATAGTGCAATGAAATTGGTAATCAACGGCAAAAGAAACCACCAGAACTTCATAAACACATGGAAATTAAATAGCACCCTCCTGAACAATCAATGGGTCACAGATGCAATTAAAGAAGAAATTAGACAGTTTCTACAATTAAATGTTACTGACAATACAACATACCAGAGCTTATAGGACACAATGAAAGCAGTCCTAAGAGTGAAACTTTTAGGAGTGAATACCCATATCAGGAAACAGAGCAAGTACAAATAAACAATTTAATGGTGAACCTCAGACTTCTAGAAAACAAAGTACAGGTGAAGTTAAAAACTTGTATGAGGGAGGAAATTATGAAGATGAGAGAAGAAATTAATGCACTGCAGACTAAGAAAACAATACAAAGAATCAGTGAACTGACAAGCTGGTTCTTTGAATGATTAAATAAAATCAACAAACCGTTAACAATCTTATCAAAAACAGAAAGAAAAGACTCAAATCCATACAACCAGGTATGAAAATAGTGAAGTCACAAGACTCTGCAGAAATCCAGAAGATCATTGACACCTACTTTAAAAACTTGTATTCTACTAAGATGGAAAATGCAGAAGAAATGGATAGATTCCTAAAAACATATGAATTACCAAACATAAATCAAGAAAGTACAAAAATCCTAAATAAACCACTATCAATCAATGAAGTTGAAGACACAATTAAAAACCTACCAACAAAGAAAAGCCCATGCCCTGACAGATTCACTGCTGAATTCTACAAGAAACGGAGAAAAGACCTAACACCACTACTTCTCAAACTCTTTAATGAAATTGAAAGGGAAGCAATACTCCCAAATTCATTCCTGGAAGCAAGCATTACCCTGATACCAAAACAGGAGAAGGATCCAACTAAGAATGAGAACTACAGGCCACGCTCTCTAATAAATACAGATGCAAAAATCTTCAGTAAGACACTGGCAAAAGAATGCAGCAAATCATTAAGATTATACACCATAACCAAGTGGGATTCACCCCAGGGATGCAGGGATGGTTCAGTATACTCTAATCAAAAAATGTAATACACCATATCAACTGAGCCAAGGACAAAAATCATATGATCATCTCAATAGATGCAGAAAAAACTTTTTTTTTTGTACTAGGAATCGAACTCATGACCTCAAGCTTACCAGGCAAGTGCTTATGCCGCTGAGCTACATCCCCGGCCCAGAAAAAGCTTTTGACAAAGTTCAACATCCATTCATGATCAAAACCCTTCAGAAAGTGAGAATAAATGGTCTTTATCTCAATACGATAAAAGCCATCTATGACAAACCAAGAGCCAACATCATACTAAATGGACAAAAATGGAAAGGTTTCACTCTAAAATCAAGAACAAGACAAGGATGTCCACTGTCTCCACTCTTACTCAACACAGTCCTGCAAACTTTAGTTAGAGCAATTAGACAAGAGAAAGAAATAAAAGGAACAATGATAGAAAAGCAAGAAGTTAAATTATCATTATTTACAGAGGATATGACATTCTACATGGAAGACCCCCAAAACTCCACTAAAAAACTGCTAGATTTAATAAACAAATTCAGTAATGTACCTAGATACAAACTCAACACTCAAAAATCAATAGCATTCATGTACACAAACAACAAATTTACTTGGAGAAAATTTAGGGAAATAACACCTTTCACAATAGCATTCAAAAAACTGAAATACCTAGAAATCTATCTAATAAAAGATGTAAAAGACCTTTACATTGAAAACTATACTACTCTGAAAAAGGAGATTGAGTGGATATCAGAAAATGGAAAGATTTCCCTTGCTCTTAGGTAGGAAGAACCAATATAGTGGAAATGGCCATAATTCCAAAACTGTCATACAGACTAAATGCAATTCTGATAAAAATTCCAACACCATATCTCACAGAATTAGAGAAAACAATCCTAAAGTTCATTTGGAATCAGAAGAGACCTAGAACAGCAAAGGCACGAAGGCAAAAAAGGCAAGGCCAGGGGCATCACAATCCCTGACTTGAAATTATACTGGAAAGCCTCTGTGACAAAGTCAGTATGGCACTGGCAAAAAAAACAAACAACAACAACAACAACAAAAAACCAGACCCAAAGATCAATGGAACAGGTTAGAAGATGCAGAAACAACTCCAGGCATGCTCAACCACCTTATCTTTGACAAAGGTGCCAAACACATTCACTGAAAGAAAGACAGCCTCTTTAATAATGGTGCTGGCAAAGTGGCTCTGCACATGCCAAAAATTATTATTACTACTATTGGTTTTTTTGGGGTACAGGGTCTCTCTGTGCAGTTCAGGCTAGCTTTGAATGTGCAACTACCCTCCTGCCTCAGCCTCCCGAGTGCTGGGATTACAGGTGTGTGCCACCACACCTGGCACATGCCAAAAATTAAATTGGACCCATATCTTTCACCATGCACTAAACTAAATTTGAAATGGATCAAAGATCTAAACATTAAAACAGAAAAATTAAATCTGCTGTAAGATAGAATACATAAAACTGCTGAAGACAGGGTATAGGCAAAGATTTTATGAATAAAACCCAATCACACGGGAAGTATCACAAAGAATCAACAACTGGGAACTCATCTTATTAAAACGCTTTGGCTCAGCAAGAGAAAACATCAACAAAGTGAAGAGACAACCCACAGTGTATGAAAAAATGTTTGCCAGCTGTTCCTCTGACAGAGGATTACGATTGAGAACATATAAAGAACTCAAAAATATCAGACCTCCCAAATTTAAAGACCCAGTCCAAAAATGGGCATCTGAGATGAATACACAATTATCAGATGAAGACATAGAAATAGAAAATAAATATATGAAAAAATGTTCAGTATCACTGGTCATTCAAGATGTGCAAATTAAAACAACACTGAGATTCCATTTCACCCCAGAAAGAATGGCTATCATCAAGAAATCAACCAATAAGAAATGCTGGAGGAGGGGCTGGGGATTTAGCTCAGCGGCACAGTGCCTGCCTGGCAAGTGCAAGGTTGTGAGTTCGATTCCCAGTACTGGAAGAAAACCAAAAAAAAAAAAAAAGAAATGCAGGAGGGGTTGTGGGGAAAAAGGAATCCTTCTCCACTGTTGGTGGGAATATAGACTGGTGCCACTACTGTGGAAATCAGTGTGGAGATTCCTCAAAAAACTAGGATTAGAGGTTTGACCCATCTGACCCAGCTATTCCCTTTCTGGGTATCTTCCCAGAAGAATTAAAAATGTCATACCACAGCAATATATGCGCATCCATGTTTATAGCAGCACAATTTGTTATAGCTAAATCTTAGAAACAACCCAATGCCCATCACCTCAGGAATGAATAAAAAAGATGTGGTCTTTTTATGTAATGGAGTACTACTCAGCTATAAAAATGACGAACTGGAGACATTTATCAGTAAATGGATGGATGGATGCAATTTGAGACCATACTCATAAGTGAAATAAACCAGATGCAGGTGTACAAACATTATATTGTCTCCCTAGTGTGAGAAGCTGAAAAAGTAAACAAGATCCAAAGGTACAGTATATATTGTGAAATGGGAAGAAACAGTTCAAAAGGAAAGAGAAACTGAGATGAGGAAAAGGAGAAAACTAGGGAAATGCAAAAAAAAAAAAAAAAAAGGATACACACACACACGATAGTTAAGATAGTACAGACAGTTATACTACTAATTTCTCTTAGTTCATTGAAAAGGTTTGTGCTAATACTGTTTGTAGAATTAAATGCCTATGTCTTGTACTCTGAGTAACTAAGCCAAAGATTACAATAAACAATGTATCAACCAGTGTTACCCTTCTATTATCTTGTTTTGAGTTTGTTTTTCCTCTTTAAAATAAAAAGAAAAAATTCTACATACCTTTTGCCGTAAGTTTTTAAGAGATTCCTTAATATATGGCAAATCTTTAGATGGGACATATTTTTCAAGCAGTTTTTCAAAGTTAGGATGATACATCATGAAGAAAAGCATCTTTCGACCATAATACCTACGGATATTTGAGAAATACATAGATGAATTAACTCATATTATCAAGTTCAGTTTCAGCCCTTACGTGCAATTCTTTTTTAACAGACAAAGAAGTATTCATATCAAGATTACCATCCCTACTTTAAGTAAGCTACTGAAATGTGTATGCACTAGCGGTGCCAGAGGGTGTGCGGTTCTCCTGCCTCCCTACTTGTCTCCTTACAGTCACAGTAGCCTAAACGTTTCAGTCATGTGTCAGCTGGACAACAAGAAGATCTGACTATTTTTCAAGCCCTCCTGGGTCCGTACTCAAGGCTGCCAGTGTTCAGCAGAATTGTGAATCAGGAGAAGCGTTCTTTGTTCCGGGTCCCTTACCCACTGATCTCTTGTTGCTTACTGCTGGCTACATGTTCTGGCTGAAGTCAACCTTCCCTATGTCCTGTTTCTGGCCACCTCTCTTCTTCCCTAACCAAAACTTACCTGGGTTTCAAATCTTCAAAGTCCTGCTTGATATTACTCAAAACAAATGTAAGGTGGGACAAATTGTGATTGATGTTATTAAATGATGTAAAAATCTGCAAACCAGAATTTTTATGTCATGTGAATTTAAAAATAATCCTCTAAGGATAACATTTTAAGCCAAAATATCACTCTAATGGTAGAAATTCAGGTACCATGGAAGTAGATACTGCAGATATTTTAGAACAGAGATGCTTTATATTGCATCTCACAATAATACTGCATTGTTCTTCTTTAAGGAAGTCTGGCCCTAAGAAAAATTAGTCATACTTTTGCTTATAATTTGGAACCTATGGCACTAAGAAGAATGAGAGGACGGGCTTTTGGGGGAGTGGGAATAGAACAATGTTCGGATTAAACACATCCTTCCAAGTGTAGTGAAATTTCAGACGGGCAGTTTACAGCAGAGAATAAACATTAACTTTTCCCATGACTACTCAGATTAGTAGCTCCTAACTAGTTATACCTTCAAGGACAATTCTAATTTTGAGTCCATATCACAGGGTCCAACTCTATACGAAAGGGTAAAACAAGCATGCCAACAATAGGGGCACAAAACGTGAAAAATAGTAAAACTCAAAAATTAAATAATGTAACTATCTGATAATTTTAAAAGCCAAAACAGATTAGAAGAGTTACTATCCAGTAAAGAGACTTTAGGGGTGGGGGTGCAGCTCCAGGATACAGTGTTGGTGGGTTGTGAGAGGAGCTGGGTTCAATCCACCACCACACAAACAAACAAACAACAAAACAGATGCACATGAAGCAAATATTAAGACTTTCTCAGCCGGGCGTTGTGGCGCACGCCTGTAATCCCAGCACTTGGGCGGTTGAGGCAGGAGGACTGCCTGGAGTTTGAGCCCAGCAGGGACTATAGAGTGAGACCTTGTCTCAAAAACAAAACAAAACAAAACAAAACGTTTTACTTAAATCCCTAGAATTTGTGAAGATGATAAGGCATTATTTGTGGGGTTATGTTATATTACTCAAGATAAAGAGATGATTTGGATGAACCTAACCTAACTGAAACAAGCCTATACACAGAGCTTTCTGTGGTTGGTTGTATAAGAAGTCAGTTCTAGGCAGGAGAGAACTGCAATAATTTGAATAAATCTGCTAGTAAATTCTTCCATATAGCCTCTAAATAAGAGCCCAGACTGCTATTGCACTTTGATTTTGGCCTTGCAGGTCCCTATGTGGGGAACCCAACTGAGCCAAGCCACAACTCTGGCCTAAAGAACTGTAAGGTGAACATTTATGTTGCCAGTGCTGCTAATATTTGTGGTAATTTGTTACACAGCAATAGAAAACTAACACATTTACCTTCTTCATTTGTTTTTGGTAGAATGAGTCCCACAAGATTAACTCCAGTTACTTAAAGTAACAGATATCTGCCTGAAAACATTAAAATTTTAGTCTTCTTTAATACTTATAAACTCAGGATCCTTTTTCTCTTTTAAAATTATCATATATTACTGCTATAAAAATTTAGATTGCGTATGACATATCGCTGGTCACTTGGCCTAAGCTTCCTAATTTTACAGATGAGATGACAGGGGTTAACAAATATTACATGTCTTGTTTAAAGGCAAACAGTGATGTAGCCAAGCAATTTAAGCTAGGCTTCTGACAACCAGGAGACCCTAAGAATTACCATCAGAAATTCATGGAGTGTTCTACGTGCAAATACTTCATTTCTCAGAGGATAATGTTGTGATGCATTATTTCTGTATTTTTCACGTGTACCTATTTCCTTGATTTTTATCTGATTGCTTGGAAAAATATCATTTTCCTCAAAATGGATTACCTTACATTTGCCCACAATGAAGTTCTGCCTTTTTTTCTGCCCACTCACACAGCCTTGTGTCGTTCTCGTGCAGTTCGTCCCTGTGCCTTGCCATCTCACCGCCCCGAAGTAGGCAGTGTCATCCATAAATGTGGCGAATTCACTGTGTGCTCCCTTAAAATCATCTCTATATTGGCTAAATAAGTCCATCCCCCAGCACCAATCCCTGGGGCCCTATGTCTCCATTGAGAAAAATGTTCCTTCATTTCTAAGCTTTGTTTCCTGCGTCTAAGCCCCTACATAGCAAACGTTATTGGCAGCTATTTACCTGGTTTCCTGTGAGCTATCTTGAGCAAACTTAGCAGCAGCTGGTAATAAACGTTCAGCCATATCCTTTGTTCCAATTAAAATACGTTCTTGTTCCATAAATTCTACCACATCTGATAAGTGCTGGGCTGTACATCTTCTTACTGCAATGTGTAAATGGCTGTAAGAAAACATGACCAGTTAGATCTTTGGAAAATATTTATCCCTGCCCAAGAAGTTAAAAACAAAAACTCATAATCAAGAACATTTCAGTTCCAGATTTATGAGTTAAGCGATATTATTAGAATAACAATATTATGGTTCCTTTTATGCTTAGCATGCACTATGATCCTTATCATATAAGAATTAAAGTTTTTTGACTGAAATTTGCTCTCTACATTATACCCAGGATCACAGATAATTTTTAGCTTAAGGACATTTCAAAATTATTCTGTCTTGGGGCTGGAGATTTAGCTCAGTGGCACAGCGGCTGCCCGGCAAGCGTGAGGTCATGAGTTTGATTCCTGGTACCAGGAAAAAAAAAAAAAAATTATTCTGTCTGGGCATGGTGATGCACACCTGTAATCCTAGCACTCAGGAGGCTGAGGTAGGCGGATCGCCATGAGTTTTAGGCCAGCCTTGGCTATATGTAGCAAGACCCTGTCTCAAAAAATAAATACATAAATAAAAATTATTCTCCATATTACCTTTGGCCTCCACCGATGAGCGCAATGACTGCACGTGCAGGAGTGACATTGTTCACCATAGCTCTCAACGCTCTGTCAACGTCCTCTCTTATAAAGGTGTTGGATTCTCCAGCCTTGTGCAACAGCACCTTGACTGTGGTATCCAGTTCCTGATCCATGCTCTTTTTCAGGTAAGTGAAAAGATCGCTCAAACAGACCACAGCAGCACGAGAAACACCAGAGCGCAGATTTTTCACCTAAAAAAAATTTCAAAACGTATTTTGATGATATTCTGCCTAAAAACTCCCCAGTAATAACAACTTTCGAAAGAGTATTAGCATGAAAGCAATCTATTTTATTTGGTACTATCTTACATCCTAAAAAATTAGCACCTAATAATTTTTTTTAATGTAGCAATTTAAGACATGGGCTACTTTCCATACAAGCCGATTCTTACAATATAGTGATGCTTACGAGTTTCAAAGGTCAAGTGAGTACGGTACGTTTGTTCTTTACATTCAAACAGTCCTAAAGTTACCTCTTGAACTACTGCAAAATTTGCTTCATGCAACTTAGTGTTCAGTATCTCAGAATGAAAAGCAGCTAAGCATCTAATAAAATTCAGGCCCTCAATTTTCTTCTCCCTGCGGGAAGAAGGAATAACAAAATCACTTATTACATAGAATTCAACAGAAACAGCATCTCAAATGTCCTCTTTTATTGCATGGTGAATACCTCCAATGAAAAGACTTTTTCTGTTTTTCCTTATTATTTAGGCATCTCAAATAAGTGAAAGTACATGTAAATACCTTTTAAGATCCAAAACCACTACTGAGAGTCAAACTAAGTTCACCTTTTCTGTACTGGAAGGAGCATTTCCTCCTCGGTATAAAGGCCATATGCTTTCTACACAGTAAGGGACAAAAAGGAGTGGTAAACAGAAGTTGAGAAAATAGTAAAAAACTGGAAGAAGGAAAGTTGGTAAACGTATGACCTAGGAACCGTAAACCACCATTACGGGTTTCTGTAACTTGTATTTATCTTTTATTATCAACCCCATGAGCCAGATGAAGAGTAGGTGGACACCTACGAGAGAGGGTGGTTAGCTAGGATTTAGGAACAACATTTCAAACTTGATAGTTTTCATCTTGTAGGTTTGCAAAAGAGCTAAGAAGAGTTCTCTTATTTGGTAATGCAGCTTGTAGTCATTTTTACCGAAGTATTTACATCTGCTGAGCAAGTTTTGCAAAGTGGTAAAAGAAACTCAAGAGAGTGCAAGGTGGCTAGGATGTTTAGAAGCACCCTGCCTCAAAATGTTCGTTTTTGAAACATTTCACTATCACAGTTTAGATACAGAAACAATCCAATTCTATACACATAATCAGAAAATAACAGAAAGCAGAGTCAAGAAGGAAGGTGACAGAAAAAGAAGCTAATACACAGTAACTGAACAGATTTGATCAAAATTACAAACTCTTCAGATCCAAGGACAAACTAAGCAGAATAAACCACAGAACACTATACATAGATCGTCATAATCAAATTGCTAAAAGGAGTATTAGATGATATTCTTTTAAAAAGCTACAGAAAGAAGGTTTTACATGTAATAACAAAGATAAAAATTAGAGAAATTTTCAAGTTGGAAAATATGCAAGTCAGAAATCAAATGAACACCATATAAATATTAAAAAGAAACAAACTTGGGCTACATAGTGAGTTCAAGGCCAGCCTGAAACCGTGTCTCAAAAAAAGAAAAAAAAGAAAAAGAAAAAGAAGAAGAAAAAGAAAATGAAAAACCCCGAACAAGTTGGGCATGGTGGTGCACGCATGTAATCCCAGTACTTTGGGAAGCTGAGGCAAAAAGATCACAAATTGGAGCCCAACCTGGGCAATTCAGGAGTAAATGATAAAATTCAATAAAATGAGTTTAGGAATAGTTAAAAGGTAAATTTTGTTATATATACTTACTTAAGAAATAAATGTAGCAAAAGTGAATACAGAAACAAATGAATGAATGAATGTAGCAAGATGAAAAATTTAACTGCAAATTGGTAATTTTATTAAATGTTCAAAGCAACTCAATTAAATCAGAGATGTCAAAAATAAAATAAAATAAAAAAATAAGTCTGAGATCTTGAAGTGGACAAAACCACAAAATCCACCTAAATGCTCTTCACAAAAAACACACTTTTTATATATATAGACATAAATTATAAGTAAAAGGAAAGGAAAAGATACAACTTGCAAAAGCTATACCTGAGAAAGAAAAAAATATTACCAGAAGAAGAATATTTCGTAGTAACAAAAGGGTCTATGCACCAAGAAGACAGACTAGTCTAAATGTAACGTTTTAAAATATACGGATAAAAAGCTACATACAACTATATACAGCTCAACAACAGCATAACACAAATTCATCTGAAACAGTCATCTGACGAAAAGAAAACATTTCTGACTTCATGAATTTTACAATTTGGTGAGAAAAATATTAGAATATAAGGGACGGTGATACAGGATATCAAGGAAAATAAGACAGTCTAAGAGGGCGGGGCAAAGGAGCACTGTTTTAGTTAGGGTCACGGGGCAAGGCTTCTCCGAGGCGGCGGCATCTGACAGCGATGTGAGTGAGGCGAGAGAGAAGTCAGTGGAAGAGTGCTCCAAGGTCCCCCAGTGGCAATGAGGTCAGGTATCCAGAAACGGTGAGAGTGGATGAATAAGGCAGAGTACGAGGGGGTGAGGATACAGAAAGACGAAAGAAACAGACAACAGTGGATTTTGTAAGCCGCTCCTTCATTAACTGTGCCATAGCAGTAAGAAATTAAAGGTTTAGGTAAGGAGTGAAAAAAAAAAAAAATCCAGAATTCCCCTACGTGTTCCAGGGAGTCGCTGGAGTGTTTTGAGTGGGGATTCCCATGGTTCAATTTACTTTTTAACAACATTTCTCTGGCCACTGCATGAGGGAGAGCAACACCAGCATGGAAACCAGTGACGAAGGGCGTACACCATAGGGCTGACAGCACTGTCCACAGTAAGCAACTGGCCTCCAAAAACAGAACTAACTCACATACAGAAATAAGGAAACGTTAACACTGCCTTGGGATGAACCACCAAATGTGCAATGGCAGAGCTATTAACCAAGGCGGTGAGTGCTCAAGGAGAAAGTTAGGATTGGGAGGACATGACATAAATGGTTCTGTGCTAAGAAGTTTTACATCTATGTTCATGAGCTTTATCAGGTATCATGTAGTTTTCTTGTCTTTGTATAATTTTGGTAATGCTGATCTCAAAAACTGAGATGATATGCCTCTTCAGTGCTCTCAAAGTCTATGAAAAATTGGTTTCTTCCTAAAATGCTTGGTATAATTTACTACTGAAAGCACCCAAGCTGGGAGTTTTTTTTGTAGGAAAGTTTTAAACTAAGATTCAATTTCCTTCACAGATACTGGGTTACACACATCATTTCTTTGAGATTTGGTAGGGGTTTTCAAAAAATACGTGCATCTCATCTAAATTGTTGAATTTACAGGCATGATGCTGTTGATTATATTTCCCTTTTCTTCTGCTGAGCAAGCTGATCAGTAGTGATGTTTCTTCTCTCATTTTTAATGTTGGAAATTTGTTTCTTCTCTCTTTTTTCTTGATTAGTCTAAAGAAGGGCTTTTCAATTTTACGTATTTTCTCCAAAGACTTGTTTTTGCTTTCATTAATTTCCTTTACTTTCAGTAGTTTTCTTTTCCATTGATTTCCACACTATTTTATTATTTTCTCTCTGTACATACTTTGGGAATCACTTGTGCTTTTAGTATTTTAAGGTAAAAGCTAAGATCATTGATATGGAGATTTAAATACAGGTGTTACATAGTTATAAATTTCCATCTAATTTAGGTACATCTATGTATCGTTCTTCACTTAATTCAAAAGTACTAATTTTCCTTTTGATTTCTATTAGATCCATAAGTTATTTACATAAATGTGTTATTTCCAAATATTTGGAGAATTTTTCAAGAACCTGGTACTAATTTCTAATTTAATTCCAGATAACCCAATTCATATAATCAAATTCCACTTTAATTGCTTATTCTGAATCAAGCATGGTAGCCAGGGCCTCCCCAGAGAAGGGGCACTTGAGGTCAGCCTAGGTAACATAGTGAAGTCCTGTCTACAAACAAACAAAACACTACTTTGTTTTATGACCCCAACGTCTCAAACTTGCCATGATCCTGTTTTAGCCTCCTGAGTGCTGGGATTAAGGCATATACTACCACACTCAGCCAGAGTATTCCTATAGAGATCCTTGATATTTGTTTAGAGATGTAATTATGTGTACACAATCTGATCCTCTCAGGCCTTGCTTTTCAGCTTTGTTAAATGCGACTAAAACAACCTTTAGTGCAGGGTATATTTTATCACACTAACAACTGAATATTCTACCCAGTGTCCTGTGAATTATGGAATTTTTCACTCTCCTGATAGAAATGGGATATGTTCTGGGCCTTGTACACGTTCCAGAGGTTAATCCTTGTAACTTTATAAATGTTTTCACTGTACCTTGTTCTGGCCTTAGGTACTCTATTCACATGCCTGCCCTGACCAATACTCAGCTGAACGGCTCAGCAGAGCCCTCTAACCCTCTCTGGAGTCCACGGTGAAGCCCTCTCCTCTGATGCTCTGTCTTACAAATGCTGGCCACCTTGGCCTCCAAAATTCCCGGCTCCAGTGCCATCTCTACCAGTACGTGTCTGGTTTTCCTCAATTTCAGCAGTGACCTCAAGCTCTCTCTAGGAAGTAAACTGGACAATTTAGGGCTCACTTTGCTTGTTTTCTGTCTCTCAGGGACCATCTTCTCTCACTAACTCGTGAACAGTATCTTGAAAACTTTGTTGCACATATTTTTAACTTTCTAAGATTTTTTTTTTGAAGTTCTTTTAAGTCAGGGTAAATCAAGTCCCTATTAATCCATCTTGTCAGCAAGCAAATTTTAAGTTCTTTTTTGGATAAGTTAAATTGAAACCATCTGTGGGAACTCAAGTAAAAAGTGTTACACAGACACTTGGGTTACTTTTTGAGTATAGAGCTCAAGAACAAACCAGGGACCCAGTTGTACATTTATGAGAACAGAGAAAGGATAGAATTTAAAGCTACAGGACCGGATGAATCTTTTTAAAAAGGGTTAGCAAACTATGCTCTGAGAGCAAATGTGGCCTTGTCCAAAGATTTTGTGAGTAAAATTTTTGAAGTAAAAATTTATTAGAATAGTCACCTTCATTTGTTTACACTAAGGCTGCTTTTTCACTGCAAACAGTGGAGTTGAGTGTGACAACCATAAATATTTAATATCTGGCTCTTTATAGACAAAAACTGTCCCTGACCTACAGAATGAATATAGACTAGAGAACAGCAGCACTGAACTGTGCAGAACTCCCAAATCTGGAAGTCCAACAGGAGAAAAAAACCAGGAAGTGTGCAGCATTGAGGACTTGTAGTTTAAAAGAGGGGAGAAGAAAGGGAGATATGGAAAAAAGATGTGTAGTTTAGGGAAATTTTCTAAAAGCAGGAGATATAGCCAGGCGTGGTGGCACATGCCTGTAATCCCAGCACTCAGGAGGCTGAGGAAGGAGGATCATTTCGAGTTTGAGACCAGCCTGGGCTACAAAGTGAGCTCAAGGCCAGTTTGAACTGCATAGCGAGACCCTGTCTCAAAAAGATAAACAAACAAACAGTAGATATAAATTAGAGCACACTTTGACCCCCATATTGGGGATCAAACCTAGGATCCTGCACATGCGAACCATATGCTCTGCCGCTGCACTATACCCCTAGCCGTATAATTATTTTTATGTTGGCGAACAGACTGAGTAGAGGCAAAACAGAGCATGAGGCAGAGGACAGGACAGCTGCAGACATGGAAGGAACAGAGGAGAAAATGAGACAAGGTCAGCCAATAGATGTCTCAGTTAAAACACGCAGGACACATGTGGACTGTTTTTTTGTCTCGCTTACGTTACTGGCTGGGCTGGCTGGGTGGGTACTAAAGTTGCAGTAAGAACACACAAGCAGTTCAGGATTGTTATGGTACATTTTACAGAGAAAGAACGTACAGTATGGACCTATACCTGCTTTACTATGTAACTGACAATTTAAAATGAAGCTGCATGGTGTCTATATATAGAATTCTAGTTGATTTTCCCTATTGGTACAACATTGGGAAATGGTGAAATTTATATTCCAAAGCCAAAGAGTTTGCATAACCCATAATAAAATTAACTTATGTCCTAATGGTGTATAATATAAGTTATAACTGGTAACACAATTGTATTAGAATTCAGCTACATCAACCAATAAGTTCAACTGCATTACTAAGTTGAAAGACTCAAGGCCTAAGAACCAAAATAATCTTTTCTAACACTATGTTAATAGGAAATGTGTTTCAAGGTTTTTAATAAAAAAAATCTGCAAAATCATTTTGGAACTTAGTTTCAGTGGAAGGACGGTTAACTTACCAATCCTCATCAGCTAAAAGCCTCAGAGCTTCTGTCAGTGCTACTTCTGGCCTGGAAAATGGCCGGAGCGCCAGGGAGTCCATTATTTCTAGACTGTGAGTGACGGAAGACACCCTTTCTTTGTGCTGTGGAATCGCTCCCGGAGATGCTTCACCTAAGACAAAACGTGTTAAGTACAGCAGGAGAAACCTGACACACAAGCTATCAATGGTGTTCTGAATACAGACGCTATAAATATTTCTTATAGAATCTAGTAGTATGAGCTTATCTTCAAAAATATTGTAATAAGGTGTTTCAATTTTTATTTTATTGAAAATTAATAAATGCCACATAATATAAATATACAAGTGAGTTTTCAGTCATGAGTCATAAAATAGCTTTAAGAGCTGAAAGAATATGACCTCATTTGTAAACAAGCATATGGGTAAGTACTCATTTTACTGTAAAGCTGATAATTGTTTTAGAAATCAAGCATTTCTAATAGAATCTGAGTTGGTTTTCCTTGTTGGTATAATACTCATAGTCTCTCACAAATCCTCAGATTACGTGTAGCAACATGGACAGTGTTTCTTCCACAATCACAGATTAAGCATTTTCCAGATGTAAAGCACTGCCCCGGATGTGCGCTTCAGTGCTCTAAGGAATGTCCTGAGGACTTCACAAGGCAGACGAGAAAGGCGAGGTGTCAGAAAGCAAAAGATCCAATTAGGATGGGCTGTCATAAGTGGGTAAAAACTTACTGGTTCTTTATTCATGTTAAGAGATATTTTTAAGAAGTAAGTATCAGGCACTAGAAAATGAGTGTCATAAAAGATTATTAACTGTATTTGGGAGAAAACATGACACAACATCGCAGCTAGGAGAAATCTTACTTGATATTGTGCATTAATCCCATATTTAGGGGATGGGGATATAGCTCAGGGACATAAGCGCCTGCCTGGCAAGGGTAAGGTCATGAGTTCGATCCCTGGTAGTGCAAAACAAAACAAAACAAAAAAACAACAAAAAAACCCCCAAATCCCATATTTAAATGCTTGTACTAGTCATTTAAAATCCAAAGCCAATGAAGTATTAATTGCATTAACTAATATTTATTAAATACTATGTGCCAGATATTGTGATAAATGTTCTACAAACTTTACTGCATTTATCTCAACAAAGCTGAAGAAGACACTCTCATGATCTTTACTTGTTTTATCTTCAGACATGGCCTTGCTAAATTGGCCAGGCTCCACTTGAACTTGCTACCCTCCTGCCTCAGCCACCCAGAGTGCTAGGATTACAGGTGTGCACCACCATGTCCAGCTCATTATCTTTACTTTGCAGCTGAAAAAAATAACTGAATTTTGCCGCAGCTAAGAAATTTGTTTAATAGTCCAATGCTGCTGTGCGCACTGGCACACTTCTGTAATCCCAGCACTTGGGAGGCTGAGGCAGGAGGATCACTGTGAGTTTGAGACCAGCCTGGGCTCCAAAGTGAGCTTAAGGCCAGCCTGAACTGCATAGGGAGACCTTGTCTCAAAAAGAGAGAGAGAGGGAGAGAGAAAGAAATCTAATGCCAATGAATGGCAGTGTCAGTATTTAAGATTTGGGACCATAACTTATGACTTTATATGGAGAGATTAAAGACAGAATCTCTGCTTTCAAAAAAATTTTTTTTTGATTTTTTTTTTTTTTTTTTTTTTTTTTACTTTTTAAAAATGAGACATGAAAAGGATTTATTAGAGGCAGATATAGGATGCACTCAAGAGCAGAGTGCAGGTACTCAGAGATGTGAGGCGCTCAAAATATTTTTTTAAATGTTGATGCACATCTTCTAAAAGTTTGTTTTTAGGAGTCCATGTTTGCAGTACACAGTGATCACTCACTGTGGGGAAGTGGTACACACACACACACATTTCAGTTCCTTTCTCCCCCTTCCCTTCTAGCCCCCTTGCTTTTAAAACACTGATCACATGCCTGATGCTGGTAAGAAAAGATTTTTAAACAGATAAATAGTATTATTTATCTTTAGATAAACAGATGATGTTTTGATTCTTAGCACTCAATCAATACCAGTCTTTATATGAATAATCATATCTGAGGAAGATGATGTGTAAACTAAAGAGTGGACCCATTTCATTTTTTTGATGGTTCAGATGTACCCTTATTAGGCCTCATCTATAATAGAGATCTGTATAAGTAAGATCCTCTCTCTTGGGGACATTACAATTCTGAAGGAGTAGCAAATACAAAATAGCTGTACAAAGCATCATTTGTTTGTTTGTTTGTTTTGTCTTTTTGAGACAGGGTCTCACTTTGCAGTTCAAGCTGGCCTTGAACTCACTTTGTAGCCCAGGCTGGTCTCGAACTTGCAATGATCCTCCTTCCTCAGCCTCCTAAGGGCTGGGATTACAGGCGTGTGCCATCACGCCGGGCTTTACTAAGCATCATTTGTTGAGAGGCTGTATTGCTTGGTACTGTGCTTAGTGCCTCACTTACATTATCTCATTTAATTCATTCAACAACTTTATGAAATAGATATTATTAACCCTACATTACATACAAAGAAGGTGATGCTGAAGTTTTAGGAATTTCCTCACTATAATATCTACTCCATTCCTACTCTCGTGAGACTTCATTAGGAAGAGACGCAGATAAACAGTAAATTTTCAACCTTGGGGTTATACCAATATCAACTACTATCACCTGTTTATTTTATTTTTTCCCTGAAAAGAGTGAAGCAAAATGAATGTTATTTTGGAAAAGGAGGTGTACAGAGTATCAATTTAAAGCAGAGCTACTCAATGCTGCTCAAACTAATTCTTTTTCAGTTTCCACTTTTTTATTTTTATTTTTTGTGGTCTGGAGATTAAACCCAGGACCTTGTACATTCTAGGCAAGTAATTTCTCTACCACTAAACTACATCCCCTCCACTGGGGACGGGAAGAGGGAATCTGCATGAAGCTTTCGGGGGACATCTTCACACAAACCATAACAGTTGATCAGCCATCCAGGCACTCAAGAGGCCTCTGCAACCACCAGCAAGATGCAGAAGGGCTGAGCTATGGCTCCAGCTGGCAGCAGACACTGGCACTACTCCATGTGGTGCTGGTTTTAGGCACACGCAGAATGCTAGAGTTGTGGGGTCAGGAAGGCTTCCACCCAGACTTCACAAGAAAGCCTGGGAGGCCAGGCAGTGTGGATCTGAGATGGCAGTGAGAAAGCCTGTGAGTGTGAAGCTGAAAGTACAGTGGAGATCCCAAGATGTTGGCAAAGCCAGGAATGGGGATCACTGAGGAAGGCTGCAAGAAGCGAGTAAAGTCAGCCTAAGGGAGATGCCATGAGGGTTAGAACCACCAGCAGCGCCTGAGGGACAGGGCCACCCCAGCCCTTTGGAGTATACATCTTGCCAGATTGCTCCTGGTGTTGGACATGGAACTATAGGATTTAATGTTTGCCTTGCTGGATTTTAGTCTTGCTTTGGTCCCATTCTTTTCTGGAATATTTACACTGTGCCTTTGAGTATCATCAGTACTTAACTTTTTTTGTCATTTTTACAGGGGCTCACAGCTAAGAGTGTGCCTTAAGTCTGAGAAGAGACTTTGGACTTGGACTTTTCAGCAGTGCTTAAACTGCCTGGACTTCGGCAACTCTTAAGAGATGGAGTAAATGCAGTTTGCATAAGGGGATGCACATAAGTCTCCCTCCATTTCTTGGTCCTCTTCCCTTTTGCAAAAGATTTATCTTCCTATTTCTTATTATCTCTCTATTTTGCTATTATCATTTGGGGCTTTTGTATAAGAAAAGCCATGCAATATTTAAGTGTGTGTGTCAGATTTATTTTACTTAACATTATGATCTCAAGGGCTATCCATTTTCCTACTGACTCCTTTATGGCAAAGTAGTACTTCACTGTGTATAAATACAACATTTTATTTATGAATTTGTTGATGGACAACTAGGCTACTTCTAAGATTTGACTATTATGAATGGTACTGCTGTAAACATAGGTACACATGTACCTCTATGATGTCTTTAACTCTCTGAGGAAGATACCTAGAGGAGGAATGCCTGGGTCAAATGGAATTTCTAGTTTTAGTTTTTTCGAGAAATTTCCACACTGATTTTCATAATGGTTGTACTGATTTACATTCTCACCAATAATCAATTCCAATTTCCTGGGCAGCCCCTATTCTGGAGCATGGTTCTTTGAAACTTTCTTCTTACCCTTTTTTTCCTCTCACAGACTCATCAACATTTGTTATTATTTGATTTTTGGTTAACAGCCATTCTTTCTGGAGTAACATCGAACCTCCAGTATTGTTTTAATTTGCATTTCTCTAATGGCCTGAGATGAAGATCTCTTCATGCATTTATTGGCTATCTATACTTCTAAGAAGTTGACGGCAATGTTTTCTATTTTTTTTTTTTTTTTTGGTTTTTGGTTTTTCTCCGGTACCAGGAACCGAACTCACGACCTTGCGCTTGCCAGGCAGGCGCGTTTGCCGCTGAGCTAAATCCCCAGCCCCATGACGGCAATGTTTTCTAAAGGAGAACACTCATTTTTTTTATATCTTTACTTCAGTTCTAAAAATATTCAAGTTTGTGAGAAAAGTAATCATTTTTCTTTTTCTTTTTTCTTTTTTTCTTTTTTGGTGCCAGGAATCAAACTCAGGACCTTGCACTTGCCAGGCAGGTGCTTGTGTCACTGAGCTATATCCCTGGCCCCTCAGTTTTTTTTTTATGAGAATTAATATTTATTATTATTGAAGCTACTAGGTCTTGCAAATTATGAGTCAAAACAATCCATTCCATTTTTTTTGGTACCAGGAATCGAACTCAGGACCTTGCACTTGCAAGGCAGGCACTTGTGCCACTGAGCTATATCCCTGGCTGAAACAATACATTCCTAGTCGCATGTTTACCTGCAATGAAATCATCAGTGTTAAAATATCACTAGATCAAAATAACACCAAAGGACAAACTTCACTTACTTTCTGATACTGTTTTCTCACTTCCTATATGCTTCATTCGTTCCCAGGGATGATGTTCTTTCTTTGCACAGTCTTTAACATCAAAAAGTTCTTTTTCTTCTTTTCTCTTTTGTCTCATCTTGTCATATGTAGATTTTGACATAGCAACTTTAGTCTGCATGAAAAAGTTGAAATATCTGGAAGTATTCAGGGCATTTGATATTTAAAATATCTTCATCTCAGAAAACTATATACGCACATTAAATGTCTATAAAAGTAAACTGTAGTTTTTTAGTTTTTATTTTAGGAATCCTAAAATAGGCTTATACAGTATCAATAGCTAATTAAATTTGTGCCTAAGGACATTGGTCTGTAACTACCTGAATGTATCTAGGAAACTGCTAAATACAAACATGCATAAATACACACAGGTATTGTCTACACAGGAAACGTACATTATACTAGAATGAGAGAACATTTGTTATGTGGGAAAAGAGAATAGTCTGTTTTTAAATGATTAAGGATCAGAAATTTCCTTCACACCAGTGTAAAATTTTTAATCATAATACTTTCACCATCACACATCTGATATACACAAAATAGTAAGATATCATGAGGCTGTATAAACATAATAAATATTAAATTCTTATTTATCTTTAAAAAAGACATCATGGATTTAAATTTATCCTAATGATTAATAAGTAATCTTACATCTTTGTCATTTTCAACATCAAGATAAGATGGAACACTTTGTTGCACCGCTCTTCCATAAACCCCTGACGGTGGTTCAATACTCTGTTTAACTGAAAATGTTTCCCCATTTTCCACAGAAGGTACCACCGGCTGGCTGTAGGTTGCTGGTGCTGAATTCGGATTTCCAAATACACCTGCAATTGAGCAACCGTCAAAAGGTCATTAAGTATTTATGTGATGGCCCAGATTACAAAGTTTAAGACAAAGCTGCGGTAGTCAAGAAACAACAGAATAATAAAGACATGCTAATTAATTATAAAACATACAAATACCTCTACACGATAGTAAAAGGTGCCAGAAAGTGGTTCATAGCATCACAGAGTTCATGGGAAGATGGATGTGAACTGAGTGTTTAAGACAATTTCAAGGAGCATGGGTTTGAGCTGGGATTGGAAGTCACAACGGATTTGGGTAAAAAAGAAAGCAGAGAAAACATCTATGAGATGAGATTATTTATATGCACTGCTGAACACATGTAAAGCATGAATGTGAGTGCACACCAAGCACAGAAAATAAATCTGCAAGAATAGGCATAGGCTGGAACCAGTCTGAAGGGGGTCTTAAGTTACTCTAATGAGACTATCAAATGAAGAAGTCAGAAAGTATTTACAGGAATTTTATCCTGGAATTTCACTATCTTGAACAAAAGAAAGACATATGACCTCCAGGTATATGATCATATTCCACAGTTAAAGAAGAACCTAATATTAAAAAGTAGTTGCAATTCTGTTTCCAAAGATCTCTGAGTGGTCCTAAAATAGCTAAGAGTGGTTTGGTTGTTTTTGTCTGTTTTGAGACAGTCTCAATACGTAGTTCACATGGGCTGTGAACTTACTATGCACCCCAGGCTGGCCCCGAACTCATGTTGATCCTCTGCCTCAGCCTGCTGGGTGCTTGGGTTACACATATGCACCACCATGCCAGGCTCCAGAGGAGAGAGCTTGACTTGTCCAGACTTTACTGGGAAGATAATACACTAATTTAAGCTTTAATAAATAAGGTCTACCATTTAAATTTAAAGTGTGATAAAATTATTGTAGCTATCCCAAACAAATATCTCAACAATAGCTGTCATGTAATATATCTCTGAAAATACTGACATAATTTACCCAGGTTTTGTCAAGGGGCAGAAACGTGAAGGTATGTTATTACTTCTAGTTCTTTTAATAATTAAAAAAAAATTTCTGTGCTTTGCTTATGGGTGAAAAACACATACAATTAAAAAGTTAAATAACTTTGATGGGCTAGGGGTGTAGCTCTATGGTAGAGTACTTGCTTAGCATGCATGAGGCCCTGGGTTCAATCTCCAGGAACCAAAAAAAAGCTAAATAACTGTACCTTTTCCAACAACTACTACTGAGTCGTCTGATAGCGTATTTGTGGATGTGAAGTCAAAACTGGAAATCTGCTGTACATTTGATGATGACCTTATAAATCCTAAAACAGAAAGAAAGAAAAAAAATTAAAATGTTTACTTACTACCGAGTACTTTAAGATATTATAACATGGTCTTTAAACACTGAAAATTTATTTAATCAAACATGTTAATTCAAAAAATATTTGTAATTAGACTATTATGCACTAAGTACTAAAGAGTTTGCACGTATCATACACAGCGTTGAGCGTAGGAAAAATGTATGTGTATATAATCTTAACATGATAACTGCAAATAAAAGAATTGTGAGGAAAGGAATTTGATATCCAAAACCAGACCAAGTCAATCTCACAGCAACCAGTACTTTTCTAGTTTAGCTTTTATCTCAGTTTCTCAGTAATTATTCTCTCTGAGAATGTAAGCTCCATAGGCATGGGTCCTTTGCCTATTTTTTATCATTTTTTTTTCTCAGAACTCGTACAGTGCTCAGCACAGAGTAGATAAATACATGTTTTATACACACACACACACACACACACACACACATATATGTCAAAACAGGAAAAATGAAAAGTAAAATTAATAAAATCAATCTTTGAAAGAAAAGCAGTTAACAGTTTTTGGTAAATTTAATTGCTAAATTTAAGAAAATAAGTTTTATTTTTGAAGAAGATGAATTGTTTTGCTAAGCAGCTAAGGCTAATAGACTTGTTCTGGCTTTGTGAGAACAGAGACTAAAAAATAGCAAAGACATAACAGAAACCCAGGTAGGCAGTCATTTTTCACGTATTTATTCTCCTTTCTTTCATGGCGCTAGGACTGAACCCAGGGCTTGCACACATCAGACAAGGACTGCGCCACTGAGCGACATCCCTAGCCCTGTATTTCCTTTCCTGGGTAGCTTAGAACTACAGTCAGCATGCACTCTGATAGCACACACCAGGTAACAGAAACACTAAGATCCACAAAAAGTGTTCTATGACAAAGGAAGGCAAAATCTCGGTCAGTGAAACAATGTGATTAATAGAGTATTCCACACAAACATAGAACCTCTCTCTCTATATATCTATATCTATATCTATTTAACATACTTACAGATCTATATAGATACATATCTTTACAGATATATATATCTATATTTTTAACAACTAAAAATTGTTGAAAGAAATATTGCTCATTGTCTCAGTCCTAAGTAATGTTAAAGGCTTCTTTATACACAGATGTCCTTACATAGTCTCTGTCTTTTCTAACTCATCAATACAGAAAGAAAAAATATTAACGTCATGGCTGGCAGCACTCCATGCATCCATCACTAACCACCTTCTTAAGTTACGCACTGGGTGCTGAGGAATTACAGAAGGCAGAGAATGGGCAGGTCAAAAGGGAAACCCCATAGAGGAAAGGGGTGGGAAGAGGAGGATGAGGTTCTGAAGGCTGATCCTAAAAGAAGTCAGAGGTGTCACACAGAATGGGTCTGCTTGGCCCCACAGAGCCAGTATTCCTTTTGGGAGTCCTTGTATTCCGTTCAGCACACAGTACGCATTATTCACTTTAACCTGTCTGAGCGGCAATTTGTGAGCAATTATGCACAAGGCTACATAATTAGTTTTGATTGGGTAACTGCCTTTTCACTTATTTCGTACATGCTAAATGAACACAATTCTACACAAAGTATACTGCGGAAATAAACATTACAGAATCATTACTCTTTAAAATGCCAGGCATGGCAGTACACTCATATAATCCCAGCACTTGGGAGGCTGAGGCAGGAGGACTGCTGTACATGTGAGGGTAGCTTGGGCTACATGGTGAGTTCAAGGCCAATCTGAACTACACAGTGAGACCATGGCTCAAAAAAAAAAAAAAAAAAGGCAAAAGGAATTTTTCATTAATACCTCAGTTCACAAACACTTCTGTTTGCAAGCAATTTGCTTCACAGACAAAAGTGTTCGGCAACATTTGCTTCTGTTCACAAACTCATCAGGTGACCAACATGACAATGGTCATCTTCCCCACACACACACAAATGCAGCCATCTTCCCCCACATCATGAAACAAGTTTGTAAAGTCAGATACCACTGTAATTTAATACGAAAGATATTAAATATGCGTAAGTAACAGGAAGGTAGGATGAGGGAAGACAGACTACTCCAGACCAAGCAAACAGGTAAAGTTTCCTAAACAAGAAGCTTTTAAAACAGTATTCAAAAATACACATAGGCCGGGTGTGGTGGCGCATGCCTGTAAGCCCAGCACTCAGGAGGCTGAGGCAGGAGGATTGTGGAGAGTTCGAGGCCAGCCTGGGCTACAAAGTGAGCTCAAGGCCAACCTGAGCTGCATAGCGAGACCCTGTCTCAAAAAGACAAAAAAATAAAATAAAATAAAAAAATACACATAATCTGGACCTACTGCAATTTGAAAAGGGGACCTAGGCTCTGTAAATGCAAACTAAGAAAACTTCTGATGTTATGAGCAGTCCAGTCAAACCGTCCTCAAAATCTTAAAAATACCTGTGATCACAGCAGCTGGGAGGGTGAAGCAGGACTGCCATGGGTTCAAGGCCTGAACCACACGGCCCTTTCTCACAAACTAAAACAAAACGATTTCTTCCTTTCTTTTTTAAAGGGGTAATGATGAATCTCAGTATGAAGGCCCTGCATTCAAACTTCAGTACTGAAGAGAAAAAAAAGATCCTAGAGCACATGGTGTGTGATAAGAGAAATAGTAACAAGTTAAAAAAAAACAAAACAGGCAAGATTATTAAGAGTCTTAAAATTTATGAAAACTTATGACACAGAGTAGGAGCTTTATTTTCTGGGAACTAGGGAACCACTCAATAGTTTAAGTATTGATGACCATAACTTAGAAATATGAATCTAAAAGAGCATGCAGCCTGAATTAAAAAAAGCTGAAAGTAAGAGACAAGTCTTACAAAAAAGTTTCTGTAATTTTACATGGAGGAAGTAACAAAGGCTCAAATAGCAACCCTGGCAGCACATAAAGGGAGAATGAGAAGAAATATGCAGTAGGATGAACCACTGTCCGACTTGGAAGGTACAGAGACGCATACAAGGATGACTACAAAAGCTTAAGCCTCTATGTGGAGGAAAACAGCAACGGTTTGGAAGCTGAACCAGACTGGAAAGGGAGGGAAGCTTAGTTTCAAATAGGTTTGCTCTTGTTGCCGAGATATATTATTTCGCTTACAGCTGGATGCTTGAGTGTGAATTTTCTGGAGAACTAACTCTGGTGAAAAGATGTAAATGTTTTTATGATTCAGCTGTCCAGAAAATGATATTACCTGCAGCAAATGGACATATTGAGCAATTATTTCAAACAATGTAAAATTTTTTGCTTTGTTTTGTTTTGTATTTTCAGACAGGGTCTCGCTATGTATTCCAGGCTGGCTTTGTACTTGCGATGATCTTCCTGCCTCAGCCTCCTGAGTGCTGGGATTGCAGTGTGCACTTCCACATCCAGCATCCAATGTAAAAAAAAATTTTTTTTTTGGTCTTTTTGAGACAGGGTCTCACTATGCAGTTCAGGCTGGCCTTGAGCTCACTTTGTAGCCCAGGCTAGTCTTAAACTCTCAGTGATTCCGCCTCCCTCAGCCCTCCAAGTGCTGCGATTACAGGGGTGCACCACCATGCC